AATGTTTTTATTTAAAAACGATCGTGTTTATCTAATTTTTTCATAATACGTGTACGTATTATACATATACGTATAGGTTACTTCAAAAGTACAAAATTTGCAATACTTTCTTTCTTTTTAATGACCTGACCTAACAAAACCTAACCTAACCTAACAAAACAGTCATTTGATTGAAAGTAAAACAATATTCTGATTAATATCAATTGCATTTAATGCATATTTGCATGAATATTTTTAATACTATTTCATATTTTTATTTATTGTTTAATTCTGATGCATTCTGTAAACATTTACAGAGATATAATATATAAATATATTAAAAGGGATAATTAATAATGGATCATTATTAATTTAATATTATATTATTATTATCATTATGATATTTTACATATTATGTGTCTGTGTGTGCGTGTGTAATTTAAGATTTAAATGTAATAATATGATATTAAAAATAAATAATAATAATATTAATATAATATTCATGTATAGCTATCTAACCTATAATTTCATTACTTCATAATGCACATCCATCAACAAATTTTTATATTTTTCTGCAAAACATTCAACAAAATTTTTCATCAAATTCAACTTTTTATAGAATCATTTCGCAGATTTCCAATTTTATCCATTAAGAGAATTTTGGAAAATACGAAATAAATGAAAAACTACTAGTGATGCTATAATCAAGTGAATATGCAACAAAAATCATTTAATAAAATGTTCTTTTTTTTTTTTAAACATAAAGCATAAGAAAATACATCTTCTCGTTGTTAATCATTAAATACAAATAAATATTACAAAATTTGACCAAAAACAATAAACTTTTTTTTCTAAATCGCATATTAGAATCTCAGTTTTTAGGTTATACAATTAGTGGTATATGTACAGGGGAGCAACTATAATTGCAAGACTACGCAAAAAAGGGGCCTAAAATTTTTGCATTTATTATTTTTTAATTTTTTTTTCAATGTATATGTATATATTAAAATATTATTTTTTAATATATATATATATATTACATTATATGCAATATAATATAATGTAATATACACTATATATATTAGAGGTAAATATAAATATTACCTCTAATTATAACCCCTAAAAGTTATATTAATATTATATTACTAAAATATATTAGTTTATAAAAAATATTTTAGTAATATAATATTAATATAACTTTTAGAGGTTATAATTAGAGGTAATATTTATATTAGATTATAATTTATATATTATATAATATAATTAGAGGTAATATAAATATTACTCCTCTAATTTAAATTAGATTAAAAATACATTAATTAAAAAAAGAAAACATACTTTCTGAATTAGTTAATTTTTAGAAACATCCAGCCCTCTACCGGTTTAAAAAAGTATTAAAAGAAAACCCCCGTTCCTATAAAAATTTTACATTTTAAATAGTAACTTTTATATACTTACTGTTTTATTAAATATTTATTGCTGTTATTAAGTATTTATATACATATAAATTTCATGTATAATGAAATAATTAATATTCATTATAAAACATAATTTAACCAGTTGACTGTGAAATTTAGTTTCAAAAGATCACCACAGAGTGCGGAATTAAAAACAAGCAACTAGGGATCCTATAGGAGGGATGTGCCATGTACATTGCTGGGGGTAGAAACTCGATTTTGCGCGCGAATGATTCAAACATTGAAATAATTATGAAATAATGAATTGCATCAAATACAGAAAAAAAGATGAACTATATTTAATGATAATTAAAAATTTATATTAAAATAGAATAGGTTACACGAAAAAATTATTATAAATTCAAGCGGTCCCCCAAAATTTTCAGCCAATGGCATATGAGTTGAATGTGAATGGCGCATCCCTCCTACAGGATCCCTACAAGCAACGACGTGTATACACGTCGAACGCAGGGCAAATGGTATTATTATATATTTTACAAAAATCGAGGAAGGATTACATTTTTATTCAAAGTCAAAAAAACTAACAATTCGTTTCTGAATACGTTATTCTTACTAAAAGCTTGAAAATTGTCAAAAAATAATCAAATACATAAACAAGAAAAATTGAAGATAGGAAGAATAAACAAGAAAAATAAGAAAATAGTTTACAAAATTTCAAGCTATGTATGTGTGATATGTTTCAAAGCACGGTACTACGCAAAGTGCGACTTCACAGGTCGTACACCAAAACCTTGTTTCCTTGCGTTTTCCATTTTTTGACCAAACGGCACATCTTATAATTAAAAATAAATTAAATAAATATAAATAAAATACATAGAGATCGTATTGGTAATATAAAGGAAACATACCACCAAATAATATTCTTATTACATTTTATTGAGATTTCGAGTTTTTATAGTGAATGGTAATTTTTTATTTTACACGACGAGTATGCACGTCAAACGCACCGCAGTAGAGATTTGGTCAGACGTGTATACACGTCGAACGTACTTAACTGGTTAAATTGTATTTTTATTTCTTAAAAGCCCAAAATTACATTTTGCAAATTTGGGGAGGGGGTAAACTGACCCGCACATTTGTAGTTCCGTTAATTATACGTGTACCATAATTTAAAAAACTACAATTTAATTGATCTTTGTTTTTTCAAAAGTAATATATAGCAAGAAATGATGATTAGGATGTTTTTGTAAGGTCGGTCATGTTAATTGAGAAAGAAACATAGCATATGCATAGAAATGATGATCAAAGATACTTGAATGACTATTGTATACTACCATTCGTTATTAGAAATGAAAGTAACGTGTTTGAAATACCAGTACACACATATAGAAATAGAAAAACACACACACACATAAATATACATACACATGTGTATTTAGAAACAACACGGATCAGCTTCAACTTCGACAAGTTGCAAACACAGACGCAGACACAGGCTCATACACACACATACACAAAGATTGGTACCGTTTTGTCCTTAATCCGCAACTAGCGTAAACGTAGAAAGACAGTGTAATTCGTCCTTGAACGATTGTGAGCTAGCATATATTCTTTATTTCTTCTTTCATTGCTAAAAGTCTTTGTGAACTTTTCCATTAGTAAAATTATTCATTAACGAAACATAATATAATAATATTATTATAGTTGTTTGTATTGTTGAAATAATAAATCAATTAATTCTCATTGATTGATTGATTCATTCATTCATTCATTCATTCATTCATTCATTCATCCATTCTTTCATTCATTAATTATTTAATTCACTTTTTCATTCATTCATTTTCAATATTTTAAAAAAAGGCTACATTTTGGTTCATTCATAAATGAATGATTTTTTAAAAATCATAATATGATTTAGGTTTATTCAAATAAAATTAATTGGAATATTTATTATTGTTATTATTGTTATTAATATTTCCTTGATGTAATTTAAAAAAAAAAAAAATGATAAAATAAAACTAGAAGTTTTCAATTAACCTGCACGAAGTTTCACTTTTCGTGACGCGTCGCTAAATATCTTACGAAATTCTTTAACATGGTGTTAGAACGAACGTGGAAAATTTTATTATGTATGTGTCAATAACATTTTGTATTTTTCTCTCTCTCTCTCTCTCTCTCTCTCTCTCTCTCTCTCCTTTCTCTCTTTTTCCTTTTAACTTTTATTAATATTAAGCAATTAAGAAACGAGGAAAAAAACAAAAGTTGTATTGTTTTTAATACTAAGGATAAAAATAGAATGTTATTTTACTAAAGTATTACAATTTATTTTCAAATATATTTCTTTATCATCAACAACTTTTGATAAAATGTTAAATCATAATTAACAATATATTTTATATGTTTGAATAATTATTTTCATTGTTTAATTAATTTAATTTATTACTGTCTTATTTAATATAAAGAATAAAAACAGAATAGTTTTTTTTATTTTTTTAGAACTATTGCAATTTATTTTTCAATATTCGTTTTTCATGAACAACTTTTGATAACATACCAATCATAATGAGCAATACATTGTATATATTTGAATAATTATGTTTCTCGTTTAATTATTTAATTTATTACTAGTCTTAATTATTACAAAGAATGAAACTAGAATTGTTTCTTTGGAAATTATTGAAATACCTTTTCAAAAATGATTCATTTCTTATCAATGATTTCTGATAATATATCAATTATAATCTTCTTAATATATATAAATTACGTGTCACGTTGTTTGTTCGTAATGGACTCCTAAACTACTGAACCGATTTTAATCAAATTTTGCATTCTGTGTGCAGTTTCATCCAACTTGAAAGATAGGATAGTTTATATCTCAATTTATAATAGCAATATTATTTTATTGCGAATTATTTGTTTATTAACAAAGAGTCATAATTATCTCGGTTAGTTCGATAAGATTCTAACAGATGGCGGTATAAGGTAACTCGTTGACTTAAAGACGTGTGTATCGGACTGATTGTGAGCCACAGCAACGCGTGACGGGGAACCCCTAGTTAGTAATATATATTCTATATTTTTGGGAAATGATTTACCTTGTTATATCATTAGATATATTATTGTCTTATTTAATAGAAAGAATGAAAATGGAATGTTATTTTACAAAAGCATATTACAATTTATTTTGGAATATTCATTTTTCATCAACAACATTTGTTAACACGTTAATTATGATTAACAATACATTGTATATGTTTGAATAATTATTTTCCTTGTTTAATTATTTAATTAATTACAATTTTAATTACTATTAAGAATGAAATCACAATTGTTTCTTTGAAAATCATTATAATATGTTTTCAAAAATTCATTTCTCATGAACAACTTTTGATTACATACCAATCATAATGAACACAATACATTTTATATATTTGAATATAATTACTTTCTTTCTTCTAACATTTAATTTAATAATTTCTCACTTAATATAAGAAATAAAATTTGGATAGTATTTATTTTTCTAAAAAGTATTACAAAAATTATTTCAAAATTATTTTCGCATACATATAGATTTATGTATATATTTTTTCTAATTGATTTCAGGACCAGTTTGACAATCTATCCCATCATACACAGAAAGGGATAGACTTTCTTGAGAGATATGGACATTTTATTCGTGATCGATGTGCCATCGAGGTGGAATATGCAGCAAAGCTCAGGTATATTTTAATTATTATATATTTTTAAATAATCCTATATATATATATATATATATATATATATACACTAGGATGCTCCGACATTGCTATGGCTTTGTTATAAAATGTTGATCCAATATAACTTTAAACTATTTAGTAAATTATAACAAAATAAAAAATAATACCATAATTAGAATGGAATACATAAAATAATATTGAAAAAAAAAAACAAGGTTATTTATGTCATATGTAAATCTGAAAAAAACGTGAAACAATTGAATTGTAATACAGCGCCATCTATTGAAAACTTCTAGTACCTAGAGACTTAGATAACGTTTAAATAATAAATCTTTAAATTAGCAATAAAAAATAAAAATAATCGCGATAAAAACTAACCTATATTCTAAGTTAGAACAAATCGCACAAAATAAACAAAATTTTATTGAGATCGGTTGGGTAGTTTCAAAGTTATTAGTGAGCAAACATTGTGACACTGAATTTATATATATATATATATATATATATATACTAGGATGTGTGTTCCAACCATGGGCTGTTATTGCTTTGTTATAAAATTTTAATTTAATATAATTCTAAACTATTTAGTAAACTATAACAAAACATAAAATAATACCATAATTAGAATGGAATACATAAAATAATAATGTTCGAAAAAATATAAAAAGCAAGGTTATGTCATATGTAAATCTGAAAAAATTGTATAACGTGAATATATGGAAATAATTAAATGGTAATACAGCACCATCTATTAAAAAATTACAGAACCTAGTGACTCAGATAACCTCTAAATATAACAAATATATAAAACCATAAATAAAATAATACAAATAATACCATAATTAGAATGGAATACATAAAATAATAATACACGAAAAAATAGAAAAAGTTGGGTTATGTCATATGTAAATTCAAAAAAAAAACGTGTAACGTGAATAAATTGAAATAATTGAATTATAATACAGCGCTATCTATTGAAGACTTACAGAACCTTAGAGACTTAAATAACCTCAAAATAATAAATATATAATATATAAATAACTACACATATAAATAAATATTACAGTTACAATAGAATGCATAAAATAATACTCGAAAATATATAAAAAGCAAGGTTATGTCATATGTAAATCTGAAAAAAACGTGTTACATGAATAAATTGATATAATTGAGATTGTAAAACAGCACCATCTATTAAAAACTTGTAGTACCTACAGACCTAGATAACCTTTAAATAATAAATCCTTAAATTATCAATAAAAAATAAAAAATAATTGCGATAAAAACTATTCTATATTTTAGGTTAAAAAAAAATCATACATACTAAAAAAAATTTTATTAAAATTGATTGAGTAGTTTCGGAGTCCATAGTAAACCAACAATGTCACATGTCACACATTAAATTTTTATATATAAAGAAAGATAAGAGACTTTGTTCAAAGTTATAATACATTAATACTTTGAATGGAACATCCTGTATAAATAAGTGAGTCTCACGCACCCTACAGAGTTCAGGGACTCCAGTTGTAATGTTGGTATATAATATTGTATTAAAGGCCCCCTTGTTTGTTCCCTGAATGCCTGTCCTATGTAGTATGTGTTACATACTTTTGTTCTCTACCGGGTGTGTCTCTCAAGACTTGGTTTAATATACATATATGTATTTCTATGTAGTCCACTGGCTACTACCATTATGTATTACAGAATAGAAAAATGAGAATATTTTTTTTCCTTTTTTTTTATGTATTTTCTATCCTTCGTTTTTCATTTTATCGTTATCATGATTTAGATAAATCAACGAAGAAGTCAATAATATTTTAAATAATAATACATTTCTTACTGATTATATTATTAATGAGAAATAGAATTTTATTTAAAAAAATATATATATATTTTTTTTATAATATTTAATTGTAATATTTAATAATAAATAGAGTTTATTTCAATGATGCAATAATTAAAATAAAATATTTATTTTGATATAATTTATAGGTTAAAGTATAAAATATAATAAAATATATTATTATTATTATTATATTATATTTTATAAATATATATATATATATATATATACTAATAATCTCAAGATGAAGTATTTAATAAATAATTGTGTTTTTTTTTAATTGTGCTATAATTAAAATAATAAACTGATTTTTGAAAATTTATAGGTTAGAATTATTAAATAAAATATTATATTTTTGATAATACAATATGTAATTAGAGTAAAAAACTATTATGCTGTAATATAATGATAAAAAATAATACTTCATTTGAATATTTTATAATTTTTTATATAAATATATTTATTATATTTCAATTGATAAAATAAAACACTATTAGAAATGATTTTATCAAACAAATATAACAAATATTGAAGCACAATATATATTATATAAATAATTTTATGATCAAATAAAATATTTAATTTTTAAATAAAAAATACATTTATTTAACATAAAATAAAATATTTATTTATCATTTATAAGATTGTAAAAATAATATTTTGAACAAGTCTGTTTGAAAGAGTCAGAAGGAAAGAGATCATTTACTATTTTAGGATATCTTGGTTTATTGTATGACGAATCAACTGTACGTTTCTTCTAAGAAAATATTTCCATGACCAATTTGTATACATATATCGTTAAGAATATTTACAGACAATGTGATTTTCCATTTTTTTTTTTTTTTTGTTACTGGAATTGATTTTATTATTATTATTTTTTTCTTTTTATTATCTGTTTTTTCTTTTTCTTTCTATTATTTGTTTTTTGTTTTTCTTTTTCTTATTTTTTATTGTATAGTGAAATATTTAAAAAGAAAAGAAAAAAATTGTAATAATACTGATTGACAATTTCGAATAGTAATAGTTACCTATCTCATGTTTATTGAAAGTCTAAAAATAACTTATGCTCTTGACATGTTACCGATCAAACTTGGTCTACTTAAAACGTGTTGTACATATACTATTGTGTGTATATTTACATAGAAACGTATGTTGATTATAGATATATGCCTTTCCTTTCCTTCCCATTTTCATTTCAAAATCAATAGAAACACGTACCATTTGTGTGTTTCTAGCTATTACTTATTATTATCATCACGTTGCACCCATTACTTAATTAAATAATATTCTTGAAATATCTAATTTATGAATGATAATTAATTATTAATGTTGAAATAATTAGATATATAATGAGTCATAGAAGTATTCGTATATATTTGTCATCATTGTACAATTTTTTACTTCTCTTACAATGCAATATCAAAATTTAGATCAGTTTATAAATTGAATAATTCGAAAATATGTTTATTTTTATAAAAATTTAAAAATATTGATTGTTTGTTGTATCAAATAAATTAGATATCATAATATATCAGGTAATTTTAAAAATTCAAATTAATTTACTAGAAATTACCTATATTAAGAGTCACGTGAGAATATTCGTAACACGTTATTACTGTAAAATTGGAAAAATTCATTTATATTTTCTTGTAATGTAAATTTTTAAAATTCTCATTAACAGAAACATATTATTTTAGGATTATAAATAAGTAGATAGAAATTTATTTAATTTGCAGCATATTGGCTTAGTAATTGAATTGGGGGAGGGGAAGGTACATCCTAAATACAATTTCATCTTACAGATTAGAATAAAATTGGATTCAGAATACTATATCAAATATTATTATAGTTAAAGTACGATTACTCCTGTGACTCATTATGAGGTGTTTGAAAAGTAATTTAATTTCTTTTTTACAAATGTTTTAAAATTCAAAATGTTTTTTAAATGATCGCGAATGATCAAATTTTTCATATATTCGACTTCTCAGTTATTTCTCGTGTTTTTCAGCAACAATTAATACCTTTCGAATGTTTTTATTTTATCCTCAACTTTTTCAACTATAGAATTATCTGTATAAATTTAATTTAACAAATTTGTTAACATATATTTTCGAGAAATGAATTTTATGACAAATTTTAATGTACGTGTACGTTGATTAAAGACACAGAGAGTAACAGGAATATTCGTAAATTTGTAAACTATTTATATCTAAATGTAATGTAAGGTTTTTTTCAATCCTTATACACAGAAAAACTATTCTAGGATTATTAAGATTGTAAAAGAATATTTTATTCTTAGAAAAATATAATATTATTTAAATGATAACTAAATTAGTCTTATTAAAGTATTTCTATGTAGACAAAATATAATAAAAATACAATTAAGTGTCTGAAAAGTGCCTTTCAACACGTTTGAAACAAATAATTTCAACGTTTATTGATTATTTTAAAATAATGAGTAAGTTTTGAATACAATTTAACTACACAGACATTAAAGTAAATGTACATATTGGAATTTTATTAATAATATTCAAAAATGTTTTATATCTATACTCATTTGTTACTTAAAATGAAATATTTGATAAATTCTATTTTGTTAAAATCACTCGTATTCTTTTGTTTCTAAAGAGAAAAAGAATTTGTGTAAGTAAGTGAAAAAATTGTTACCAAATGGCAGTGTGCAAAATGAGAATTCAGATGTACCACTTTAATGCATAAAAAAATGTAGGATGTCTAGTTTGCAGTTATGCACTTACCACAAATTAAAAAAGAAAATGTTACTCGTACCTCTTTCTTTTTTTAACTACTCAATTATTATTTTTATAAGTAGTACTTATTTTTAGGTTAGATTCTCTTTACATTTTATATTACTTTTGATCTGATAAAATATACTTTAATTATACCAATTTTCTTATAACTTAACAAAAATTATATTTTTTTTAATAATACAATTGTTTATCTGCAATTAAATTTAAATCAATTTAAAAGTCAAATAATAATCATATAAAATGTTTCTGAATATTATATTACAAGAAAATATTGATTGTATTAAGTTAGCAAAATTTGTATGAATATTCATGAAACTCGTAAATACATCATTCAAATAACATCAAACATTTGAAATCCTTTAGAATAAAAATATACGATTTTCTAACAACAATTCTGTAATGATTCTTGAAAAAGAATAAAATATAAAAAAAAAAAACATAATAAAAGCATAAAATAGAATATAATATAAATACATACAAAATATGTATTAGGGGTCTACCAAAAAATTATTTCCGTTCAAACAAACACTGGTTCAAATTTTCACCTGTAGAGGGATAAGGCATTTTTTTAAAATGAGGTAAAAATTGCAATCACGCTGGCAAAAAGTCAAAAATAATGATAGCAATTATATTATTCAATAAAGCTCATTTAAGATATAAAAAATTTATTATTTTATTTTATTCTAAAAACGGACAGAACTTTCCGTTAAATTTAATACAAATAGAATATAAAGCACTATCATTTTAATAATACTGATTATGAAATAATATAATAGATTATTAAAAAAAAAAAAGAAAAGTTGTAGTCAATTAGATTTGAAGGCTTATATCCTAGTATAATATATATATATATATATATATATATATATATATATATATATAAGCAGCTGTGCCCCGCCACGCGTTACTGTGGCCCATGTGAGCCAAAATATAACATAGTCGTTTAGATAAAGGTTAGGTTATGTTCAAATGTTTCGCGCACTCACCAAAATCTATAACCAACAGATTGCGCTGGATTTATTTGTGTCTTTTTCTTTTTTTTAAATAATTAATTATTTTATAAATAAATTAATGTAATAAAAAACTAGCTGTATGCGAATGCAACGTTGTGTCAAAATTTCAAAACAATCGATAAAGTACTTCTGGAGATTATCGATTAGGCACAAACGAAATCAACATTTATATATATAGATTATTTATAGAGCTAACTAACAATATTATATAATATATATATATTTAATATAATGTATATTTTAATTTTTTTGAAATGTTATATATTATAATAGCAAAATATATAAAAATAAAATAATATAAATAAAAAAAATAATAAAGATTATAATATATTTTAATATATTTTATATTAAAATATATAAATATTAATATATATTTATAAATATTTATAATTTAATATATAAATATATTTAATATAAAATATATTTTAATATATTACAATATATGTATATATTAAATATTATATTACAGTAAAGAGCATAACTGAACCAATAACCACTAGTTTTGTATAAATCTTTATTTATTGCTAAGAATGTAAATGAATATGAAAAAATGAACATTATAGTAAGTTTTATTTCAGTTAGAAGTAACATCACAAATTATTTCAATAATTAATGTCTCCTCGTTTAGTACTGACAAACAAAAATTTATACAAAACTTGTGGTTATTGGTTCAGTTATGCTCTTTACTGTATATATCCTAGTATAAAAAAATAAATAAATATTTATATATTATACTAAGATGTTAGTATAATATATATCATAATTATTAATTGTCAAATAATATATATATATATTTTAATTAATAATATAAATTAATAAATTAATAATATAATATATACAATATTATATATGTGCCTATAATTATGAAAGTGGTCTAAGTCATGTATCTCTTGTTTCGAGATATTTAAAGATTTCTATTTGAACATCATATGAATTCTATGTAATATTGAAAAAACAAACATTATCTAACAATTCATTTTTGACAATATTGTGAAAATTACATTGAATTTATTTAGTTTAAAATAATGTGGTGCGTAATTACTAACAAACTCACTTTTTTTTTGTTTAATTTTGACTTAGACCACTTTCATAATTATGGGCACATATAATATTTATGTATTATACTAAGATTATATTAACACTGTCAAACCTAACTGATTGCAAGTATATATATATATATATATATTGCAAATATATATCCAAGGCAATAACACTGTTCCGTTTCTCTTTACAGACGTCTCGTGAAGAGTTATCAACCAAAAGAACCGAAGAAGAAAGAAGAGGAGGAGGATTATAAGTGAGTACGAGGCAGTTTTAGACACGTAAGAAGACGAGCATACTACTCTCTCTTCGTGTATACGTTATAAGACTATCTCTTTCTTTATCTCTTTATCTTGTTCTCTGTCTTCCTCTCTTCCTCTTTTCCTTCTTTTTTTTCTCTTTTATTGAATGTTACAGAAGTATTCTTAATGATCGTTCGTACTATGTTAAAACCTTAACGTTGTTATTATTGCTAAGAAAACAAAGTATTCCTTATATTTTGTTTTTATTTTTATTTTTATTTTTATTTTTTTTTTTTTATAACGACATATTAACAAGAATTATTATTTAACAAGAACAACATCGTGTCAGATTCGTTCAGGATTTTTTTTTTTTTTTTTTTTTGAAACCTTAGAGTTGTAAAAATCGTTTAGGATAATAATATTTCATAACCAGTAATAGAGGGATGCAAATATTCAATCATTTTCCAAAATATTGAAAGATTTATGTTTGATTTATATATATTTTTTTGTATTTTTTTATTCAACTTCTTTTTTTATCTTTTCTTTTTTTTTTTAAATTAAAAAAATACAGAAATTAGATTTAAGAATTACTTTAGTATTTATACAGTACGACGTTTTAATTGAGCTTTTATTTTTTGTTTGTTAGAATACAAACAAATACAGAAATAAACTGTAAGTTTGTTACAGTACGTTTTAACAGTAAATTTTTTAAATTTGTACAGTACGACGTTTTATTGAGCTTTTATTTTTTGTTTGTTAGAATAAAAACAAATACAGAAATAAACTGTAAGTTTGTTACAGTACGTTTTAACAGTAAATTTTTTAAATTTGTACAGTACGACGTTTTATTGAACTTTTCTTTTTTTTTTTAGAATACAAACAAATATAGAAATAAACTGTAAGTTTGTTACAGTACGTTTTAACAGTAAATTTTTTAAATTTGTACAGTACGACGTTTTATTGAACTTTTATTATTTTGTTGTTAGAATACAAATAAATACAGAAATAAAATATAAATTGAATGTGAGAAAAAAAATAAATTAATAAAATTAATAGTAAAACAACTTATTCTTCAATAAAATTCTTAAAAACGGTTGATAATATTTGCACCTATTTCTCGAGTGCAGTGTAGTGTTATTGTCCTATAATGAACCCTTTACAACTGTATAAAATTTCAAAAATAATCTTAGATATACGAATCTGTTGTATTTGTATGTGTGTGTGTTGTTGTTTTTGTTAAATAATATATGAAAGGATGAATAATTTTTTTTTGTTTTCATATATAATATTTGTATAATATTATACATAATAAATAAAACAATTTGAATGATTTATAATTTTGGTTTTGTAGATACAGTCCATGTCGGGCTTTCAAAATGGAATTAAATGAAGTGAATGACCAAGCAGGTCAGAGGGAAGTTATCGCAGAAAACTTACAAGCCACCGTTCTGCGAGAATTAAACATACTAGTGAAGGATTTCAAAGAAGATCGTAAAAAGTATTTGCAAGAGGGTATCAGATTGAGGGCGGCTTTGGCTGGACAAATTGGTAATTTGGAACGTGCCAGAAAAGCATACGAGAAAGCTTTTCGCGAAGCGGAAAGAGCCGTTGAAAATTATCAAAGAGCTGATGCCGATTTGAATCTTTCTAGAGCTGAGGTATTATTATTATTATTATTACATACAAATTTTCTCTTTTTATTTTTTTTTTTTTTAACTTTGCTCAAATATAATGAGTATAAATATAAATCTTCAATCTGAGTTATCAAACATTATGTGTATATATAAACAGGTAGAAAAGCAGAGGATGAATATGACTCTGAAAACGCAACAAAGTGAAGAAGCAAAAACGGAATACGCCAATCAGTTACAAAAGACAAATGACATGCAAACCTTGCATTATCATACGTCTATGCCAGAAGTATTTCAACATCTACAGGTATTTTCTTTAATCATTTTTATTAATTATATTTATATATACTACATACATATATATATATATATATATATATATATATATATATATATATATAATATATATAATAAATATTAATATAAAAATATATTAATTAAATAAAAAATTATAATAATATATAGGCTATATAATGTATTTATATATATTATAATACATATAATGTGTATATATATATATATATANATATATTATATATATAATAAATATTAATATAAAAATATATTAATTAAATAAAAAATTATAATAATATATAGGCTATAGTATTTATATATATTATAATACATATAATGTGTATATATATATATATATATATACACATTATAACTTATAATATTACTATAATTTTTAATTTACTTTTAATAATAATTATTATTTTAAAAAATTTATATATTAATTATATAATATAATAATATATTATATATATATATATTTTTTTTTTTTTCATAGGAATTAGATGAAAAGAGAATAAAGAACATGCGAAATTATATGATCAAATCGGTGGAAATAGAACGTGCTGTTGCACCGATAATTGCTCAATGTTTGGACGGAATTGAAAAGGCAGCGAATGAAATAAACGAAAAGGAAGACACATTATTAGTTATCGAACGGTATAAAAGTGGTTTTCAACCACCAGGAGATTTTCCATTTGAAGATCTATCAGTCGCCAAGACGTATGATAGTAACAGTCAATTATCCCAACCTGCGATGCAGCCAATACACAATCATCTTACGGTAAAGGGAACTGTATCCGGTGGAAAGATCAAAAAGAGAGTTGGACTTTTTGGAATTTTTAGTAGCAATAAGGTGAATATTTGTTTTATTTTAATGAATATTATTAATCACTAATTAAAACCTCGTTCCATATATCCAATGCAGAATATATCTCAAGAACGTAAGGGCTATGGGGAATATGATGAAAGCATGTTGTATATTTATTTTCTTGCATTTCCTTTTTTTTTTTTTCTTTTTTTTTTTTTTATTCTAAGTTATATCACAGATATGTATTTTGATATATTTGTACATATGATATTATCAGAAAAGAAAAAGCTTGTAAATTTATCATGCACATTTGTTGTTTCACAGAGAGCATGCATTTTACGGTGAATTTGATTCTATCTAATGAGAGTCAAAGTATTATATTCTATTTTTCTTTTTTTTTCTGTTTTCTTTTTCTTTTTGTAACGTCATCAAATGTCGATATTTTGTTTTTGTTTAATTGCTTCGTTTCTTGTTTATTATTATTCTTTTCATTAAGAATTTGTATATATATATATATATATATATATATATATACATGTGTTACCGTTAAAGTATTTAATTCAGTTAATTTATGAAATAACTAGGCATTTTCAAAGAGAAACATATAACTAGAATTTTATTATGTATTTTAATTAATTGTTTTATAATATAACCAAATATTATATGAAATAATATATCTGGTTATAGTCTCATGAACTTGATTATGATGAGTTGTTGTTTTGACCTTGTCAACTGAAAATCATTTATTATAGCATATTTTACTTCCATGACATTTTCAATTTTACAGTAACTATTTTTTTTAAATTTTAATTTAATCTTTCAATTCTTTGGATTCGAATTATATATATAATACTTATACAATATTATATTATACAGCATTATATATAAGTATTCATAAGTATTGATATACATCATTAATATATAAGTATTATATACAATATATATATTACTATATATATAATGATAACATATTAGCATGGTTAAAGTTTTCAATCTTTCATCAAACTGTTCCTTAAATGAACCCATTTCTATAAACTATAACCATGATATGGTTTCAACATTCGTTCAAAGTCGATAGAACAGCGCAACTAACAAAACATTTGTTTTCAAAGTATGCAAAAAGATAAAAACGAATACGAGCATTGTTTTAAAAATGAACAAATTATTTTAAAGATGGATCATTTGATATTTATCAATTTAATACTTTAACTATATATTCTTATTTCGTAAATTCATATATTAACTAGTTGTAGTATGTAATTCTGTCTTATATTTCATACTTTACCTGATCGCTATAATTATTTCATGTAATAACTAGTTTATTCACATAAATTAACAAATTTCACATATTAATGGTAACATATTCAAGATGGTAAAACAAAGAGTTTGATATTTCAAGGGTTTTATAATACTTCAAAAAATGTCTAATATATAATGGGTTTCTAAAATCCAACCCTTTCGATGTAAATTAACTTTTATTATTTTTTTTTTTATTGTAACTAAGTTTTTTGATAAAGTATTGAATGTACATTGAGGAATTTGCTTTACAAGATACATTAGTTCAAAGTTGTGATGTTTATTATAAAAATAAATAAAAAAAACAACTATTAATAATATCAAAAAAAGATTATTTTGTAAATGTAAATATAAAATATGTGCAAAATCTACATGTTGAATATTTACAGATCTTAGATTGATGTATACTTTCAAATATTCCTTAAATTAATGTATTTTTTAGCAATATTTTCTACTTACATTCAATATGTCAAGAGACTCGCTTACAATATCGAAAGCTGATGAATAATAAAATTTAATTAACATCGAAAGAATTGATTTTTAAAATCTATGTTATAATTAAATATTTTTAAATACTTCTCGATAAATATTATAAGCCTGTAAAATATCAGACCCCTTCTTTTTTTCTTTTTGTTTGTTTTTTTTTTTTTTTTTTTTTACCGATCTGTTATACATGATTATTATTAGTTTGCTTTTAACTTCTGGTAAGAGAATGTAACTTCTTTTTCTTCTGTATCTTTTATTAATTTGGTGGACGGTTCGATCTGCCTGTGGTTCTCTCTTGTTTCCAATCTTCCATCGGCTATGAATTTGGATATTATCGTATTTAGTAAGTACACACTGTAGATGGCTTGATCGTCCGTCACTTTACAATATTAACAATTCCTGCACTTTACAACTGTAATCGTGAGTGGTTTGATTTATCATAACGAATGTCGTCTTTATATTGGAGAGTACAAATTTGACGGATCAACAATTTAATGTTGTTTAACCCTTATTAGTCAGAAATCACTTCCCACGTGATTTACAAATAATACAAATATGTTATTAACACTAGAACTATACCGACAGTTGAGACGTAGTCATCTCTACCAAAACTAGTCAAAATGGCTGGTCTTTAAAAAAGACGTAAAAGTAGAATATTTTTATATTTATTGACTTATTATTATTTTACAAAAGGAACTCCATGTTCTGAGATTTTAAAAAACTATATATAATAACAATTATAATAATAACAATAAGTATACAATAATGAAGAATATTTGGTATCAAAATGGTATCAAATGACTAGTATAGTAGTTCTAGTGCTAATAATTAAATAATTAAATAATTTTATATACATTTGTAGTACTCCTTCAAAAAGAAAAAATAAATAAATAATAATTATTCTTATAATACTAAACAATTTTGTTGCATATTATGTTACCGAAACCACTTATAACTTAGTGAGAATCATCATAAATATAAAAATCTGACAACCAATAAGGGTTAACATTTTATATAAAGACTTGTAATAAATTCTCTTTTTGTTTACCATTTGTTCGAATTCGTACTCTACATATAATTAAATTGAAAATACTACTTCCCCATTAAAGTGCTGAATGAAACGCTTTTCGAATTTGTTTCATGCGAACAACAGAAGTTGATCGAGGTGTGCATAGCTTTAAAGGTCTGTCCTTCTCTATACAAAATGCTCATTATTTGTTAGAGTAAATAATATTTCCCTCTTAGTATATTCATTCCTTTGAAATTATTGTATTATTTTGTAAGTAATTTCTTTACTTTAATTTCATATTTTTGTTTAGTTACTAGCATTATTAGTTAGATATAGAGAGAAGAGTGTTTAAGATTTTTTCGTACACACGTTGCGAATGTATTCTATGCTCAGAAATAAGAAAATAAATGATCTATAAATATATAGGTTATATTTAAAACTTTATTTAAAAGTTATATAACATAAATGGTAAAATTGTTTAAATGTTTTATTCAAAGATGATGCTTAGTGATTCAACGTATTCTTCTTTGAACGTTTAGCTTGACTGTTTTGATCATTCAACTATTGGGTTGGCAACTAAGTGATTGCGGATTTTAATCATTGCAATTCGACCTATGTACTCTAATTTTAAATTTAGCCACCAGATAGAGTATTCAAGTGCTAGAGATCCCAATATATTATATTTTATATTATATATTATATAAAAATATAAGTTTATTCAATTAGGTACTGTCCATTTTTGTTGATGACTTTTTGCCATCGATCAAACAGTGTCATAATACCATGTTCATAAAATTTCTGATCTTTGCTATCAAAAAACTAAATTAGGTATAAAATATAATCCGCAATGACTTAGTTGCCAACCCAATGGATATTTATTTATGGAAGAAACTAAAATAAACAAGTTTATGCAGCTGAGATAGTTAAACTTCATGTTATTGTAGTTTCAGAAATTAATAGAAATCTAAAAGAAATTTGTCATATCATAAACAGCATATTACAATGGTATCAAAACTGTATTCGCATAAGCGGACAATATTTTGAAAAACACATTTAAACAGTTTTATCATTTATGTTAAAATTTTGGTGAATAAAGTTTCAAATAACCTATATTTATATAACACCTTTTTTCTTATTTTTAAGCATAAAATCCGTTCACATAATTTCTACCAAAAAAGCTCAAATACTTTGTATAAAAGGTGTTGTTCCCTGAGTTAAATCGCTAAACTTTAGATGTAAATTTAACACCCGAAAACAAATAAATTTTTCTTTTAAAAGTATGCTTGCAAAATGTTTCTTTCAAGAGATATTTACTTCTAAAGTTATGAAGAGTTAGGAACGAATTTCACATTGTGAAATATTTGTTTCCAAAATTCAAGCTGAATGTAATCACTTTGAGTATAACATATGTAATGATTGCAATGTTTTTTAATAATAAATATTGGGTTGTCCGGAAATTTCGTGAAGATTTTGACGGAAGATTGAAACGCAACGCATTTAAGTTTTTTCTTTTGTTTTGGTATTATATACATATATTTATTAAATTATATATAAGTGCCATTCTGTTTCCATAATCTTTCTCTATCTTTATGGGTAACTTCACAAATTTCTGGATTAACTTAAAAACTTAAGAGTAAAAAAACTTTTCAGGTTTTTCAGCAAAAAAAACACCTTTACGCCATCTATTGAAAATCGGCACGAATTTTCCGAACAACCCAATATAATAATTTTCTTTTTAATAATATACGTAATAAATTTGAATTATTACGTATTAACTATATAGTAATAAATATCTTTTGAAAAAAGAATTAACGAGAGTATACTTGTGTAAGAAAAATGTAAATTTATTTTTAGGGTCCTAAATTCATATCTAAACTATAACAATTTAATCTTGGGAACACCCTGTATAATAAAAGCTTAGTAAAAATATATTCATTATTTATGTTTTTATTAAATAACAACCAGGATTGATGCATAATGTGTTGCATTTGTGATATATGCTTTTTTCTCATATAGTCCTCCATTTCACATACTACAAATTAGGTCATAGAATTTTGGAATTATAGAAATTGGAACATTTCAGAACAACGTGCCTGGTTACGGTGATGGCGCTAAGGAGGACTGCAGCGATTTACCACCTAATCAACGGAAAAAAAGATTGCAGCAAAAACTCGATGAAATTCAGGCAAAGATTCAACAAGAAACAGCAGCAAGAGATGGTTTAATGAAGATGAAAGGTGTATACGAACAAAATCCAGCATTAGGTGATCCGATGAGTATAGAAGGCCAATTGAATCAATCCAGTAATAAATTAGACAAACTTGGTGCAGAATTGACGAAATTTCAAGGATATTTGGAAGAAGCTATGCGCGCTGGTGTTAGCTTATCCAGGTAGTACAACAGATTTTATCAGTCTTGAGAGAATAAGATCCATCATACGATGAAACGATTATATGTTAAACATGATTTAATTTAATTGAATTATGTTCTTTTAGTCCAAGTCAAGTACAACGAAAGCCTACAAGTAATGGTTCAGCGACAAGGCCATTAAGTTCAAGAAGATCCAGTCATTCAGGTGGCGAAGAAAGTCTGTCGAGATCGGCTTCTGATTCTAGTGTTAGTAATGCGAACGCGAATCAGCCGGTACATAAAAAGAGTGCACCAGGTACTCCTCAACCTAGCCACGGGTAAGTATCTGTATAGCAATTTTATTTATCCGACAAATTCAGTAATAGTATATAGAAAGGTAGTTATTTTGTTATTTGGAAAAAACAAAAAAAGGATTCATTAAAAATTGAAAGAGTAGAGAAAAGAATATTTGTCTAGACCAATAGACAAGGTTTTGCTTTACGGTACTGATGCACAGTTCCACGAATAGCCCGGAATCTGGTCTTGGAGAATCAAGAACGTCGCTTCCTGGTAGTGGTGGAGAAGAATATTACGTAGATGAGATAGATGCGCAGCCACCATTAGGAACCTGTAGAGCACTTTATCCATTTGACGGTAAGCATATATAAAAATAATAATAATAAATGATATTTGAAAATTATAAAAAAATCATATAATATTATAATAATTTGTAGCCACTAGCGAAGGTTCTATACCAATGTACGACGGTGAAGAATTGTATATGATCGAATTAGATCAGGGTGATGGATGGACGCGTGTTCGTCGTATTTCACAACCAATCGAAGGATTTGTACCGACATCATACATAGAGTGTCATCTTTACAACACATAGCCGCTCCTTTTAGGTCATTAAATAAGATATATCTAACTTCATAAGCGCAACGATTGATCCAGCGTTAAAGTTCAATGCGAAACTTTTGAACTCTAAGGCCAAGGTTGTTTCTTCAAGTTTGCTCGATGAAGTTAATTCGTTCCGAGTGTTTTTAAACGCGTTGGCTTCATTATATTGGCACTAGGCTTATCGATCTCTTTCTATTTTTAATTAGGAAAGTTTAACCATTTGATATTGACGCGTGCTAATATTGTCAAGTTTAGATAAATACCAACGATGATGATGATGATGATGATGATGATGATGATGATGATGATGATGATGATGATGATGATATAAACGACGATGACAATGACAGTGACTATGACTATGACTACGACAATGACGATGACTATGACGATGATGATAATGGTAAACTATGTCCAACGCCATTTGCTCAATTTTTTTTTCTATTTCTAAAGAGAACAAAGACCGAACAAAAACAATGAAAGAAAATTGCGCTTTGTTATAAATGTAACCAAGAAACAAAGCTTTTTCCCCATATATGTAATTCTCTCTTGAGATGGATTAACTTGTATATAATTTTGTGTTTTTATCGTTACATACAATAGGATTGAATCGCACTGAACTTGAAGCTTCCAAAGTACACTTAAATCATTCTTTGTATTTGCCTACGGGTTTCAAAAAAGACGAATGAATCGTCGAATTTTCTGACGGTCACAAAATAATAAAACAAAAACAAAAACTTATGTGCAGTTTATAGCTTTAGATAACGCACAAAAGTAACTGAAATTTGTGACACTATTGAAGAAAGTAAAATATCTTATTATATTATTAGAAATTGGACTCCCACACCCCCTATCATCCCTCTTCCTCTCCCTCCCCTCATACGAATCCTTTGCTTCATTTTGTATAGAACAATTGTTCTGCGAGTTTAACTATTTTTTTTTTTTTTTTTCTACGAAATTGATTATTAAAGATTTTTAATTGTGACTACGCTCAAGGACAGTCTCGTAAAAAATAAAAAAAGATGCCAAGGGAACTAGAAGACTGATTTGTATTCACATTTTCTTTCTTTCTTGGCATAGATTTGAAATTTCTTCATTTATTATTAAACATTTCTCTCTTTGATCCTTTTGTACAAAAAGAAAAATATTCAGATGTCAATTATATTAAAATTTCTCTAAGTAACCCTAACCTTAATTTTTTTTATTTCTTGTTTTCAAACAAGTAATAAAAAAAAGAAAAGAAAAAAGCAAACTTAAACATTACAAACGACTAAATATTCTTGAATGCGTTACATACGAGAAAGTCAGTCCTGAGCGAGTCTCTCTCTTCTTTTTAATAATAATAATATTAAATAATAATAATAATAATAATAAAAACAACAAAAAAAATGTTTCTTTAGAAAAAATAACAAAACAAAACAAAAAAAAATATACAAAAAAACAAATATGATGTCTGAGTGTGAATTAGTTAGGATTATAGATTTCTGTACATAAATATTCCGTTGAAATGAAAGAGAGAGAGAGAGAGAGAGAGAGAGAGAGAGAGAAAGAAAGAGAACGAATGGTACACGAATTAATAATATGGAGTGCCAGAAATGACGAAGAAAAAGAAGGAGTAACTTCCAATGAAGATAAACAAAAAAAATTCGATTCGATTGAAATGAAAACAATTTCTATGAAATTTCATTAGAAAAATAATTAAAGAAAAATGTTTTCATTTTGATATTATAAAAAATATTGGAAGTAGTTCCTACTTTTGTGCTGCTTAATTAATAGCAGGAAGCCTATTATAGAATATCGTCCTATTTCTAAACGTGATTATAAAATACAAACAAATACAAACAAAAAATCACGTCAGGTAGTTAATAATATTCTCGCGTATTAATGTATATGTACATACATACATACATACATATATATATATATATATATAATTATAATTATAATTATAAATATATTCGGATTATCAAAGCGTAGCTTTCGGTATATAATGAAATATGCAAGCACTGAAATTAATGAAAGGTTTTTAAATGAACCTTTTATCTTTCTCCCCTTCCTTTTGTCCTCTTTAGTCCACGTATAATACATAAACAGCACCTAATATCAAGATTTTATTCAATTCGATGAGAATAAAATCTTTTTAATTATTATATATAGAGTGTCTCAGAGGCTTTCATCCAGTCAAACTTTGAGAAACTATTTTACAAATTGAAATAAAGAAAAACAATGTCATATATAAAGTTTGTTTAGAAACCAAAGTTATACCATTGTATGAACGGTTCAAGAATTTCATTTTTGTGCAACTCATATCGGAGTCGTTTCAAATATGTGATTTTTGAAATATTTCAAGAGTCACGTTATGACAACAATATTTTGAAATAGAAAGATAAATATGTTTGATCATTTTATATTCTGTAAGGATTATAATCCATTAAAAATCCATTGGAAATTCATTAATGAAACAAATACAGCTTTGAATGAATATTAAGAATATTGTTCAGTACGGTATAATGTTATTTGTAATAATTTTGGAATAAAATGTTTCTAAACAAACTTCACACACGACATTTTCTCTTTTATTTTAATTTACGAAATAAATTCTTAATGTTTGAGACACCCTGCATATATATAAATATATATATATTTGACGTGTATGTACACAACTCCTAGTACGCACGTGTCATGCATTTTTTTTTTCTTCGATATTGCGGTTTAACGAAATTATTATTTATTATCGCATAACGTTGAAAAAAAAAAATGAAAATTAACACACACAAAAAAAAAGAAGAAAAAGGAAGAACAAAAAAATTTATAATTATCACAATTAGCGAGACCAGTATTCTTGCGAGAGTGAAAGAGATTGAGAGAATGTGATGGATCTGCGAGAGTAACATAATTTTTTTTTTATTAATTATTATTGTCCAATTATTGTTTTAATTATTATTATTATTATTATTATTATTATTATTATTATTATTATTATTCCTTTTTTTTATGTAATGTATATTTTTTGTGATTTTTATCGATGAACAAAAGTATTGTAGATAATTAACTACTTGCGACTCAATACATTTTTTATTATTATTATTATATTATTATTATTATTATTTTATGTTAATAAGAAAATATAGGTACTAAACTGATATAAATCATTTACACGTGTTGTATAATGACTAGCATACGTCTACTATTTACATATGTGTCCGAGAATTTAATATGACTCCAATTTATATATTGAAATGCGAAAACATATTACTCACACACAACAGTGTTATATATATATTGATTATGTCGTAGATTATTAATTATTAATTATTATGATTATTACTATTATCATTACTATTATTATTATTATTATTATTATTATTATTATTATTATTATTATTATTATTATTATTATTATTGTTCGAGAATCTTTACTGATTTGTAATATTTATATATATGTATATTAAATGATTCATAATTCATTTCTTTGTATGTTTTATTATTTTCATTATTATTATTATTATTATTATTATTATTATTATTATTATTATTATTGTTCGAGAAAAAAAAACTACGACACAGAGAGAGGGAGGAAACTAGTGTGGGTATATATGTATGTATGCATATGTATAATGTGTATGTATGTATGCGTATTCTGATATGACATGCTTCGATGTCAATAAAGATCAAGGTAGCTTTAAATTTTTTTCTATATCTTTTTTTGTTTGTTTGTTTATTTATTATTTTCAATTTATTTATTGATTAAGAGAGAGTGAAAGAAAGAATTCTCTTTCTTTTCTGCTTTCTTTTTCTCTTTTTCACTTATTTCTTTTAATACATTATTGCAACTTCCCATAAATTGTTGACTAGATTAACAATACGTTATAGTAAAGTGTTAGATTTACAATTTTGTATACGTATGTGTTTGTGTATGTACACGCACATACATTTGTAGATTAATTTCTTCTTTTTTTTTCTTCTTTTTTTTTTATACAATTATAAGTATAAATAAATCGCAGAGACGATTTTTTAATATTTCATTTGTTATCTACAGACAATCTTTGCTTTCTTTTTTTTTAAATATATATATATATATATATATTATATATAAATACAGGGTATCTTCTAGATTTTTTTTCTTTCAAACGTTATCAACATATTTTAATAAGCAAAAATAAGACAAAAATGTAATATAAATGATGTGGACCTTTAAATGTTTTATAAAAATAAATTGTAAACAACAATATGAAATCATAATTAACTGGTATCATTAGTTGATATTATACAGATTGAAATCAATTATAATTACATTTTAAAATGCTATCCGTTATTGTGAATGTAGAACTGATAATGTATGGAAAATAGAATCTATTGCATTATTAATTTCATATTCATTTTCCTTCATTTATCTAAATATATTTATAATCTTTTATCTTAATTATTAATGAAACACTAGTTCTTAATCATTTCGTATTTTTTATTATAACTTTTTAATAAATTAAAAGTTCTGTATTATATGACACTCTTGGTCTTATATTTGCATGTAAAAAATGTTGGTAATATTTAGCAAGGAAAAAATGGGACACCCTGTATATATAAAAAAAAATGCTAAGAGAAAGATTCTTTTACTTTTTTTTTTTCATTAAAATAATAAAATGAATATTATTGTCAAAAATCGATTAATCGCAAGATTGGCAGTTGTATAGTGTTAACGTAGTCCTAAAATACATAAAATGAAGTAAACGAAGATAAATTTGACTTCTTTTTATGTATCCGAGAACAATATTAGTCAGATTAAAGTAATAATAACTTTAGAAATTGTTTAGCTGCTTATCAATAAGAATACGAAAAGTCGAAGAGACATATAAGTAGATAAAAAACTAAATCTAAGAAGAAACAAAACTATTAAGAAGAGCAATCGATTTTTTCCCAATTCGAATAAATGCGAATCGGAAATATTATCAAAGGTATCTCGAAAAACGAGATAATTGAAAAGTTACAAATGTGCATTTTCAAATCAATAATAATATGTATATATATAATACAGTCGCTTGCGTATTCGCTTGCCGTCAGTCAAAATGTATAATATCGCTGTACAAAATATTTGTTTAATTCTTAAACTATGCAAGAAAAGAGGATTGCTTCTTGCAGTCTTAAACGAATCTCAACCTAGAAGGTTGCGCCGTAATGCTTATTCATAAAAAGTGAAAGCTAACTGCTGACACTTTCTTTGAACAAGTAGTTTAATGTCACTTTCATTTTTTCTTTCTTGTTTTTATCAAATTAGTTTCAAATAGTCAAATCTTCCCAATCTTCTACTTGTCGCGGTGTTAATTCCACTCTGATACGTGTCAAGGTACCCAGAAGATCGTGCATCCTAGGCGTTAATGGATTTGCTTGCAAATCTATGTATTCCAACGCTGGTGCATGTTTGATTCTTTCAACGTCAATGTCTGAAATATAATAGGAAAGTACTCTAAACGTTGTCTTTCGCATTTTTTATCATTTTTCTAACTTCTCTCTCTCTCTCTCTCTCTTTTTCTCTGAAGGTTTTTTTTTTGCATAAGTATACCAACTTATTTACTAACCAAACAACATAATTGTTCTAGATTCTTCTTCTGTATCCTGAAGACTTACCGATGATGGAGTTATTATTGGCAAGAAGTCGTTTAAGTTGTGGTATCCGACAAGTAACGGGTGGCAAAGCGATAAAAGTATTATGCGAAATGTTGAGTCTTTCCAATGCTTGAAGTTCGGCAAGTTCTTCGGGCAATTTGCTCATTTGATTGTGACTTAAATTAAGTTCTGTAAGAAAAAGAAAAATAAACACCTTTATTAATCATTCGCTTAAACTTTAACAGCGTTAAAAATGCCAAACCAACTTTGTTAAGTTTTCCATTTAGACCACTAGATGATTTGTCAGGCATAGAAAAAAAATAAGAAATGGTCGACTTGTCTTTGATGAAAAGTTGAAAAGTTTAAAGTCAATTGGTAGAAACCGACATTGCATTTAATGCATTAAGGATATTTATCGTCTAATTACTAACCAGTGATGAGGGAAAATTTGACTGCAAATTTGGGTGGAATTTTTGTTATAACGTTGCCAGATAAATCGCATCTTTTCAATTCTGTATGTCTCATCAAATGATAAACTGCATCTGGTACTTGCATTAACTGGCATTCGGACAAATCTGAAATAATAAAAAAGAAAATAATATATATATATACATATATTGTGTGTCTCTCTCTTAACAATGTAAATGTAGAGATCTCATTGAAAATGAATTGGCCATCGAATTACGACGGCTTTACGCTTTCTCTTGCTCGATTTTCTTAATCCAAGTACGGAAGAGAGGTACCGTCTGGAACGATTACGAAATAAAAGTATTCTAAGTGTAAAACGCATATATTAGATGCTACACACGAGTATACCTAAAATTTCTCTAATTGGATACTTGCCATATGGCATCGTTCAATGCACCTGTACAAAACTTGAAAATTTGTTATTTTTACACAATTCACAGAATATTATACATTATGAGAAAATCAATTTGAGAATAATCTTTAATATTATACTAATTCGTCATAATTAAACAATAATAATCCTCAATCGTTTTTATATACACAATTAATCATAAAGTTAATTTTAAGGGATAATAAATAATAAATATTTTTACTTGTAATGCAACGTTTCAAAATTCTTTTATACGAGAAAACAATTTTGATTATTATTAAACATTAATAATTTGTTATAAATGATAGGAAAAAATTTCTTTTATTATCTTGGGGAAAGTATATTCGTATTTTTACGTAAGATTTAATAAAAAATAAAATCAATATTTTTCTGATTTGTATACATGATTTTTTTTAACATTTAATGATGATTTTGAGATTAGGTATACTCTGGTGATACCAATTTTTCTTATCAATAGAATACTCTTTCGTAATAAAATTAATATTAATTGAAATATTGAATAATCATATTTCTGTGTATAAGAATTTTGAAATATATATATTTATTAAATATTATATATATTTAAAAAAGAAAAACAAATATCCAAGTATATATATATATAAAAATCATTCCAATTTAGTATACAAGTAATTCGGACAAATTTCAAAAAGCGCGCCCTAACAACGGTTATAACGTGAAGTAAGTAACGTATAAATTTAGTTCGTTGCAAAATACGATATACGTAACATGAAGCTCTCATTTGATCGTAATAAAATGTAGAAGAGGTTAGCAAAAAAGAAAAAAGAGAAATCAATAATAAAGGTAAACAATTATATTAAAATTAAAAAAAAAAAAAAAATTCCTTTGACCATACCCAAATTTTCGTTTTCCTGTGCTTCTTCGCATCGCAATATCACTTTTGTCACAGCGTTCGCCATTTTGTTTTAAACCGACTAACTGCAGGGAGTTCAACGAAAAGTTCTCGAATCCGATATATTCTCTTAGGAAACATTCGTGAGAAATATTTATTTTTGTAAAGATCTTTCGGAAATAAATTCGTTCATCGTTCGTCCTTGACAACGTCCGTTCAGAAGATGTCGTTGGCAGATCAAAATTGCATTTTACGCATTTCAACGGTAAATTATTATTTCATACATTTTTACAATTTCATTTTATTTCGGTATTTTTTTTTTTTTCAATAAAAATGACGAATAAAAGAGAAGAGAAGAGAAAATATATGGAATTATTATGATTTCTTAACGTACGTATAAAACATATCTCGAAGATTTTCTTTAAATCTTGTTTGTGTTAAGTTTAGTGACGTAGTTTGTATTGTGGCGCCTTTTCGAATTTAAATTTGGCGCCAATTAGTGTCATGGCGGCTGGCTTTTCGTTCTGTCGTTCAATTGGTGCTTTTTTTTTCAAATTTATATTTTCAAGTAAAATTCAAAAATAACAAAAATGTCTTCTTTTGCTTGGATATAACGAATGAATAAGTAAATAAGTAAGTATTAGAATCGTGTTGTTACGTTAGAAAGAAAAATATCATCGAATAGTTTATAAAAAAAAGAAGAAAAGTAACGGTCGTTGTTTAATACGATCAATCAGTTCTTAAATAGAAACTTGGATAAGTCATTGAACGTTAGACACCTACGTTAAAATATATCGTAAGAAAACGCGATGAGATAGTCGTGTTAGATTTAACGCTACAATATTGCCATATATATATAAGTAGAGGAATGATTTTTTGCTATAAGATAAGAAAGGTATCATGGCGGCAAGTTACCTTTTATGGTTACCCTTCCATTAAAGGAATACTACCCACGTGATATTTATATTTTCCATCATTTTACGAATGCTTAAATGTTTCCATTTGAAATGTACAAAATAATGAACATTCTCTATAGAAAGTATATTATGTGTATAAGTATGTATAGGGTGTCTAGTAATTAATGGTACACACTGGCAGATTCTACGTAAAAAATTAAATCGAAAATGTAGAATAAAATTTGTTCGTATAAGGTCCCTTATCCCTTTTATTATTCTGCATATAAAAGTACTATCCCAAGGTCATCGAAATGTCAATATTTTACGAAATATCAGACATTTTGCCAAAAAAGTTGGTTTGCATTGAAGAATAAAGTACAATTGCATTTATTAGGTGCATTCATATAAAAAATAAAGTCATAAGAATGTATTATGCTATATGATTATTTCCGCTATCATTTTTTTTTATTTTTACTTAATGATGATTAGTGACCTATCCCAGTTCTAAGAATCATTCTGTAAAACAGGGGTTCTCAAACTGTTAACATTTTTTACCATCATATAAATATTTCTCAAATAAAAATCAATACATTCCAAATGTAGGTGTTTATAATCAAAGAATAAAATATTTTAAATTTATATTATTTAATTATATTCATAAATGAAATTTTTTACAATATTAAAATACATTTTTCTAAACATTTATTGAAATAATTTGCGTCAAAATTGTACCACTTAAAAATAACGTAATTATACTACATTAATGGTATGTATATGCCATATGGTATATGCCATAATTTTAAGACACTATATTAAATGTTTAATTTTTTATAAAGTATTGACATTTCGATGACCTTGAGTTAGTACTAAAAAAAATAAATTTTCAATCATATTTTTCTTTAAAACAAAAAGCTTTACGTGAACAAATTTTATTTTACATTTTCGATTTAATTTTTCACATAAAATAATCAGCCACTGCTCGTTTGTATCACCAATTATAGGACACCTTGTATGTACAGTTAAGTCACAGGAATATTAGTACCCTTACCCCCACCACCCTCTATCAATTTATAACAAATATTATTTATTTATAATGCAATGTTTCAAAATTCTTTTAAATTGATATAAATGTTTTAATTGCAAAATAGCACATTTTATTAAAAGTTAAATAAAAGATTTTTATATAAATATATAAAAAATTGATCTCACCGAAGTATGCGTATAAATCTTCTCAAAAGTATTATAAGATACAAAAGTAGTAGTCAATAAAATGATACTTAGAAAAATAATATTATAATTGTATTTTTATTATATCTTACGTAAGTACAAATATTTTTGTGCAAAAATTTAACGTTTGGTCATTCAAAAGGTTACTCTAGTCACCCTAGAATTTTGAAAAAGAATTCAATCGAAAATTTGAATAATCCCTATTATCAAATGTGTTTCCATGGAAAGGAAATTTGTAGATATTGTATTTGCAAAAAAATATTGATTGTTTTAAATTTACAGAAATGGTAGAAAAAAAATGTTGAAAAAAAATTCAATCAAAAAGTTGAAGAATCTCTATTATAAAATGTGTTTCATTTTTGTTATACAAAAATTTAAAAATATTGTATTTACAAGAAGATATTGATTGTTTAAAAAATTTACAAAAATGGTACTCAACAATACTCCTGTGATTTGTAATGTATATACGTGCATATAAAAAAAAAAAAGGGATCAAGTTAAAAAGGTTAAATCGTCCGGCATGCGAAACGTTTGTATAAGTATCTCTATCTCTCTCTAACATACTATTTACTATTCCTAGATCGACCTTTCGAGCACATAGATCCATAGATTCGAATCGTAAAACTGTTGCTCTTCGCAAAAGAGATCTCGTCCTTCGAGAAGCAAAATTACTGTCGCGGTAAATGGAGAAAAAAGATGATTGGGAAAGAAGAGGAGGGGGTAGAGGAGAGAAAGAGGAAGAGGGAAAACAAAGACCGGACGAAGGTGTTACGTAATCATTGTTTCGATCTTTATCCCGTCTATTATCTATGTTTTTATACCAGTAAGACGATTCGCGAACGAGCATTTCACTTTTTTATTCCGTTCAATTTACGCACTTTCAAAAGTCCCGCGTATTTTCAAAAATTTATCACAATTACAAAACAAAGAAAGTGATTTCATAAATAGGAGAATTCAAAGCTTTATCTTGATATTTATATATTATTTATATTATTATTATTATATATATATCTATGTTGTTACATCAACAAGACGATTCGCCATTTTGCGATTATGCAGTTCACTTTTTTATTCCGTTAACTGTACGCATTTTTAAAATTCCCGCGTATTTTTAAAAATTCATCAATTACGAAACAAAAAATTGTGATTTTATAAATAAGAGAATTCAAATACTTATCTTGATATTTATATATTACTAATATTATTATTATTATATATATATATATATTTATGCTGTTGTATTAGCAAGATGATTCACCAATGAGAATTTCACTTTTTATTCCATTGACTGTACGCATTTTTAAAAGTTCCGCGTAGTTTCAAAAATTCATTAATTACGAAACAAAAAAATTGTGATTTTATAAATAACAGAATTCAAAAGCTTATCTTGATATATATTTATATATCACCGATATTATTATTATATATATATATATATATATATATATATATATCTATGTGTTATATCAACAAGATGATTTACCAACGAGCATTTCACTTTTTTATTCCGTTGACTGTACGCATATTTAAAAGTCCCGCGTATTTTCAAAAATTCGTCACAGCTACGAAACAAAGAAATTGTGATTATTAAATAAGAAAATTGTAGATTATTATTTTTCAAAAGTTTATCTTGTTACTGACATTATTACTATTATTATTATTATTATTATTATTATTATTATTTATAAGATGATCTAAAAACGGTCGTTATAGTTGTGTATAGTTAAATGCACGCATCGATGCTCTCTTGTTATGTTCTTTCTCCTCGCGGGAAAACTTTCGCCCGTAACAGTTTAGAAACTTTTCTCTTTATATGTAATCTAACTGTACTCTTGTATATACTCATATATATATATATATATATATATACACAAACATATATATGTAAATAAGAGAGAAAGATCAACGAATGTATATTTATTTATTGTGCGAAAAAAAAATACATTGACATTTTTATAACGCAATTACAGATGGAAGGTTAGTGCGTCGCAAGAAAAAAGAAAACAAGAAAAAAAAAAAGAAGAAGAAGAAAATAACGGATAAGAGGTAAAGAAGCAAACGGCAAGTGTATGAATCAGAGGCGTAGATCGTGGCATTGATCAAGGTTCCTGATCTATCCAGATTTACGGATAAGGTAAAAACAACATTTATTATATACACAGGAAAACGAATTTTACTTATTTTTCTTGCTAAACAAAAAAAGAAAAAGAAAAAAAAAAGACAGGAAATGAATGTAGTATTGTACATAGTTACATTCGTTTATTATATATACGTATGATTAAATTTGAAATATATAACATGCTTGGAAATAATAAAAAAAAAAAAAACAAAATGGTAATTGATATCGTTTTTTGCGCGTGATGAAAGAAAATTTTTTATGAAAAAGGAAAAAAAAAATGATATTTTTGTTTGTATATATAGAAAGTTAATCGTGTGTTATCTTATCAAATATATCATGTTGTGTATGATACAAAGAGATATATAGATCATAATTATTTTATGACACGTACCTAGATTACAATTGTCTTGAGCTTCCTCGCATCTTGAAACTACCCTAATAATCGCTCGACCCGCCAATTGGACGCAAACAGCCATGGCCACGTTCCTTTCTCCTTGCTCTTGAGGTATATTTTGTACCTCTTCTGCATTATACGCTGGTGGTCTCATCTTTCTTCCGTTTTTTTATTATTATTATTAGTTTTTTTTTTTTTAATCAAAACTAATCCAAATAAAATCCTTTGTTGTTGTGTTATTATTAATTATTTTCTTATTTTGGTTTTTGTTTTATTATATTTACATATATATATATATGTATGTATAGATGTATAATTCTTTTTCGTTTTGTTTATAATTCACTCAGAAATAAAAATGTATCGTTAAAGATAAAAAAACAATTTACTCGCAAACACTATAATAATATTTTTCTTCCCTCTTATATAAATAATAAATAAATACCAATTTGAATAAAGTAGTCGTCTACTACTCTTTCTTTTGTTTATTTTTCAAATGAATTATCTCAATGTCACCCCCGTCGACCAATAGAAAATATGTCATATGACTAACGGTAAGATGTCATTGGTTGATTATATTTCAAATGTATAATTTGTATATAATGTTTTAAAGGACAAAAAAA